GCTACGCCACTGACACATACACACACTGCCGTTTTATGAGGACTCTCCATAGATGCAATGTGTTGAATTCAGTAAAAACCCTTATCACACGAAACTAGAACAAATGTATGTCCTTGTAAACCACCCAAATCAGCACACACACTCACTGGTATTGGTGGTTTAAGAGGACTCTCCATAAGCGTAATGTATTTTATTCAGTAAAAACGCTTATCACAGGAAACTAGCAAAGTTTCTGTCCTTGTAAACCACCCAAATCAGCAAACACACACACACACTGATATTGGTGGTTTATGAGGACACTCTACAGACGCAATGTATTTTATTCAGTAAAAAAGCTGAATAAACAGTGGCGAATATTTATAAAAAGACCTCATTAAATATGATTTAAACAGTTTTAAATTATGAAAACACAAGGCATGTCACCACCTCAGTGTTGCAATATCTAGGTCTTTCCCATGTCTTTACACAAATATCTGTCCTTATAAACCACTAAAACCCATACAAACACACTAGTAATGGTGGTTTATGAGGACTCTCCATGGACGCAATGTATTGTACTAAATAAAAACGGTTATCACAGGACTCTAGCAAAATTTCTGTCCTTGTAAACCACCCAAATCAGCACACACACACATACACTGATATTGGAGGTTTATGAGGACACTCTACAGACGCAATGTATTTTATTTGGAAAAAAAGCTGAATAAACAGTGGCGAATATTTATAAAGAGACCTCATTAAATATGATTCAAACTGTTTTAAATTATGAAAACACAAGGCATGTCACAATAAACCACCTCAGTGTTGCAATATCTAGGTCTTTCCCATGTCTTTACACAAATATCTGTCCTTATAAACCACTAAAACCCATACAAACACACTAGTAATGGTGGTTTGTGAGGACTCTCCATGGACGCAATGTATTGTATTGAATAAATATGCTTATCACAGGAAACTAGCAAAATTTCTGTCCTTGCAAACCACCCAAATCAGCACACACACTCACACACACACACACAAACACACACACACAGATACTGTGCTTTCCAGCTTTCATTTCTAGACATGAGTGACAGGAAAGTTTCACCTTGAGCGCAGTCAGTCTTCCATGATCCTGGTGAAGGAGGAATCCCCGGTCCCGTCCCGTTGGGGGTCACCAGGGCCTTCCCCGCCCTCACAGACCACTTCCTGTGCAGCGGGGCCTCCCATTGGCCGCCGGAGGGGTTTGCTCACGCTCTGACCTCATTTCCTATTCTGTCGAATGCTGTGGTGTGCCAGAGTGTGTTGTGAATCTGTGGAGCTGAAGCATGTCATTTTATTATGATTGAGAAGAGGATAAAATCACTAGAAATCATCACTGCAACACCAAAACTGAAACTTTATTAGGATGTTTACACACTGCTCTTTTACTGTGCAATAGTTTAAAACATCCTGCAGCAGTCTTTGTTTAAAACTTTGAAGAAAAAAAAACATTATTAATTGATTTAAATAACAAATTTAAAGCATTTTTAAAAATTAGAAGATCTCTAGAACCCACAGATCTTAAATGATCAAAAGGTTTCTTTGCTCTTTTAAATTATTTATTTTTTAGCTATTCAATTATTGCATTTTCCATTTTCATTATAGCTTCAGATGAAATGTTATAATGTTCTTTTAATGTTATTTCATTTTTTATTCAATGTTTTATATACTTTGAATAGCTTTTTTGTTTTTATATAATGCTATTTATTTAATTGACATTTTAAGTACTTTAACTTAGTTTAACTAATAAAAGATGAAAATACATCTGCATTTCTGGCTGAAGTGTTTTTAATCACTGTTTTTTTTTTGCATTCATTTTTATATTTCACTTTCACTCATAGTTCAATGAGTAAAAAAACTCATAGTTTTAATTTTAAGTAAACATTTGGTAAAAAAAAAAAAAAAAAAACACCTGTGAAATTTAAATAATAAAAAAATATATATAAAGTACTATTTATTACTTTAAATATACATTCTAAATTGTTTCTTCAACCTAATTTCGATTCATATATATATATATATATATATATATATATATATATATATTATCGAACCCGGTTTATCAATAATTATTGATTTAGTCCATATATTATACCCAAAGTTGTGCTGAAACAATCCTTTTTTTTTTAATAGAGTTGTTTATCTATAATCATATATAATATATAAATATATATATATTTAGATTCCCATTGTTGCACATTGACATAAATTTTACTACTATTCGATATATATTTATAATATATATATATATATATATATATATATATATATATATTAGGGATGTGCGGAGCAGCCGGTATTTGTATTTGTATTTGTATTTGTTGAGGGGGGAAAAGTATTTGTATTTGTATTTGTATTCGAGTAAAATTCAAAATGGCGCAGAAATATATATTTTTTCTATTACACTTCTAATTTACGTTATAGTGAAAGTATTGTTTAATTATACCCATTATATAAATTATAGATATGCAATATTGGCTGTTGTTTTTGAACATGTGATAAGAAATGTCATTGAAAAGAAAATAACATAGAAGCCATTATCTCATCCATGGTTAAACCAACAACTAATAAAATACCATTGTGAATATTATGAACCCCCACCACCACCGTTCTTGTCGAAGGACACTGAATAGACAGATTAAAAACAAATAATACTTCAAAAAACTGTTCTTCTTCTGAAAGAACTTTTTTCCAATGCACAGAATTCCAAAAACTAATATTAACTAAATAAATCTAAATAAACCCTGCCCGGGAGATCTGGCAGAACAAAAGATTTCTATATAATACTAAAAGATACAGCCCTGCTATTATCATCTGCCAGCCACAAAAAAAGACACAAAGTTTGTTTGTTTGTTATTTTTATGTTTGAAACTGACTTGCTGGGGCAGAATGTGGCTGTGTTGATGCTTTTAGGATGCTTTTAGTGCATGTGATAATACATTACATAGAAGGTTGCGCTGCGGCTCTGTTCAGTGAGAAGCGCTCTCTATGGCAAGCCTTTTTAGCATTTAAATCTTTGTTCTGGCTCCATAAATATATTAGAGATATCTCTAATTATATTTTGACTAGTCATAATTATAATTCCACTACTCAGAATGACAATTAGACATATCTGCAATTACAATTGTACTAGTACGAAATCAGATGAATTTTGACTAGTAACAATTGTAATTGATATCTCTGAGTTTTTACTAGTCATAATACATTTGGAGATATCTTTAATTCATCATATTTAGAGATATTTACAAATATATTTGAAGATATCTCTAATTAATTTACTAAAAGTCTAATTACAGTTGTAGATATCTTGAATTGGATTTTTGACTAGTCAAAATTCATTTGGAGATATCTCTAATTACAATTGTGACTAGTCAAAACTTATTTAGAGATATCTGCAAATATTTTTCAATGGAAGTCAATGGAGGAATATGACTAGTCTATCATAATATGTTTGCAGATATTTCCAATCTGACTAGTCGAATTATAATTATGACAAGTCAAAATATAATTAGAGATATCTCTAAATATATTTATGGATAGTCTGAACAAGGTTTAAATGCTAAAACGGCTTGCCATACGCTCTCATCCAGTAGCACAGTGGAGATTTCTCTAGTTATATCCTTTTAGTCGTTTGTTATGCATTGACATGCAGTCAAATATTTCGCCAAACAGTCCTTAGGGATGCGGTGACACGCAGTCAGATATTTTACCGAACAGATCCGCCACTTTTGGCGCTCATAAACAATCATAAAGCTCTCGTGCTGCAGGAATGAGGAGATCTGCTGAAGGCGCGCAGCTGACGTGCAGTGAGGGTTTGCGTCTTTAATAAACTACGGCAGTTTGCGATCACTGAACAGTAAGAATGATTAATAAATCCATATGAAACAGCCCCTTAAAGTCACGTCTCGCTTTCAGTTTCGGGCTTTGGCGCGTTTTGCCTCTCTCTCTCTCTCTCTCTCTCTCTCTCTCTCTCTCTCACTCTCTCACGCGGGCATGCACTGTGGTCTCATGAGGAAACGCTGCTTTTTGATATAGTGTTTTTCTTGCTCCCGAATACAAATAATTTTTCAAGTATTTGTTCGAATTAAGTATTCGTAAAAACACGCTATTCGTGCCTTTCCGAATACCGTATTCGGGTTCGGCTCCACCCTTAATATATATATATATATTATAAATATATATCGAATAGTGGTAAAATTTATGTCAATGTGCATCAATGGGAATCTAAACGTTTGTTGATATTAAAGACACACACCAAATTTTTGGCCACTGAAAAACTTCGGCCACTTTGTAAGGGACGCTCTAATTTTTGTGGATTCAGCCATTTTTGGGGGACTCTTTTAAATCTGGAAGCATTAAAAACTAGGGCCCGATTTTACACCCGGTAAAAGTAAAGAGGCTGAATGAAGGAGGCTCGTTCTTTATCCTCGCGCTGCAGATGCTCTGTTTAACTGTTTTCTCGCTAGTGAAACGTTCTGTTTTTACAAAGTCCGCCATGTAAATAGCAAATCCAGCACGCAACTGACTTTTAAAGGGAATGAGAGACGAGACTCTGATTGGTTTAATGCACGTTATGCTCAAAACACACCGAGAACTCATTAAGAGAATAAGCTCGACCCTGTTAGCCCATGCGCCGGGGCGCAGAGCGGATTTATCCATCCTTAAAATAGCAAAAGTGGATTCGGACACAATCTTAATTCTTTTGCGCCATGTGCTTTAGACTTTGTGCCTAGATCATTAAAATAGAGCCCCTGATATCGTAATATATCTTTATCGTTCAATATGGAAAATAATTATTGAGATTGCATTTTACCACATCGTCCAGCCCTGTAATAAACATTGAACTACAGAACAATCAGAAATGTTGCCATGTCATTGGTGATTTTATTTTAAGCAAACATTAAATATTAAAGCTCATTACTTTAAGCAAACGTTAAATATTCCCTCTTTGTAGCCTTTTGACACGATGACGCGAGCGGGTTTAGCATTCGCACACATGCAATGAAATATTCTGCATTGTTTTTCGGGTGCAAACAGTTCATTTCCAGCCTTCTATGACTGTGAGCTATTCTTATCTCTCAACATGAAAAAGTACATTGAAACTTCCTGTTTTTGTCTATAATCAATTTGGTTTGTGTGGGAAGCCGCAATAAAAAAAGCACCTTTTTTCATATCCATTTGCGCTTGATGATGCCGCACCTTTAGCGCACACACACACACACACACACACACACACACACACACACGTTTTCTGATGCTGATTCAGAATGAGAAGAGGAACTGACAGCATTTAGTAGTTTCCTGCCAAGTGTGCAGAAAGTCTGGGTCCGGTTCACACACACACACTCACTCACACACACACACACACACACACAAAACTGCATCCGTACACCCCCGCGCACGCGCCTCTCGATTACATCTTTGTCAACTGACAAAATCATGACGAAGGCCAGCGGAAAGGAAATCGAGTCATTGTAGAATCGAGTTTTCCAATCTCCACAAAGAAGCGGTTTTCCAGCGTCCTCAAGGATTCTTATATAAGGTGATCGAGCACCTGTGTGGCAGTATGAAGGAGATCAATAGCAGCAGCTTTACAGAAGACCAAACTGTACATCTTAAACATGAAGGCGTGTGTGTGTTTTCTGCTTATGTGTGTGTTGGCAGCACAGGCTGAGGAGTCGCCGAAGATCCTCACGCTCAGCAAAGTCATGAATGAACTCAAGAAGATTCAGCAGGGGCTGGTAAGTTCATTTATCAGACCTATTCTGGAGCTGCATTATTATTAGTAGTAGTAGTAGTAGTGGTGGTAGTGGTGGTAGTAGTAGTATTTGACACTATTTTTAATCTGATTTCTCTTTTTCTTTCAAAATAGACGAATTCAAACAAGACTTGGTTCAACTCTCCAGCCACCAATGATTTGAAGGTAAGACACTAAATTAGAAGGTGCATATTAAATATGATGCTTTTTAAGGGGTAGTTCACAACAAAATCTAAATTAGCGCATGTGGTTTTGAACATGCACTCAAAAAAATGACATTTGCAGTTTGTTTACTATATAAAGTGAGCTGAAACAACACAATTCTTGACTTGTTGTTGTTGTTTTTGTGGACAACTTAATTGTTTTATGTTCCGTTCACTTTGATTGCTGGCACCAATTGACCTCCATAATAATTTCTATGGAAGTCTATGGGTGCCAGCTATCAGCATTCTTCAAAATATCCTCATTTGTGTTCATCCTGAGAAACCTGCACTCAAAAAATGACGTTTGCTGTTTGTTTATTATTTAAATTGAGCTGAGCAATTCTTGAGCTGTTGTTGTTGTTGCTTTTTGGTACAACTTAATTGTTTGACGTTCAATCCACTTTGATTTGTAAAAACTATTGATTTCATTTAATTTAACACATATTTATTGTGTAGATCCTGGTATTTTTTCAGTGCTTTTGAGATGTTTTCTTTTGTTGAACAAAAACAAAGATATTTTGAAGAATGCTTTCTGCTGGTACCAATTGATCTCCATAATAATTCCTATGGAAGTCAATGGGTGCCAGCATTTATCAAAATATCTTCATTTGTGTTCAACCTATGAAAGAAGCTCAAATAGGGTTTGAACAAGCACTCAAAAAATATATTTGTTGTTTGTTTATTTTTAAAATTAAGCTGAAACAACAATTCCTGAGTTGTTGTTCTTTTATAAATCAACTTACTTGTTTTATTTAATGTTTAATCCTCTTTAATTTGTAACTTATAAGTTAAATTAATTCCTTCATGTTGTCCCAACACAAATCGATTCTGTAAAACTCAGCATTTTTGACAGTGCTTTGGAGATTCTTTCTTCTTGTTGAACACAAATTAATATATATGGAAGAATGCTTTATGCTGGCACCAGTTAAGCTCCATAATAATTCCTATGGAGGTCAATGGGTGCCAGCTATCAGCATTCCTCAAAATATCTTCATTTGTGTTCAACCTATGAAACAAGCTCAAATAGGGTTTGAACATGTACTTAAAAATGACATTTTCTGTTTGTTTATTATTTAAATTGAGCTGAAACAACACACTATTTGAGTTGCTGTTGTTGTTTTTGGGACAACTTAATTGTTTTATGCTCATTCACTTTGATTTGTAAACTAATAACTTAATTACTTCATGTCGTCCCTACACAAATTGTACGGAGCCCAACATTTTTACAGTGCTTTTGAGATTCGTTCTTCTGCTAATCATAAACAAAGATATTTTAATGAATATTTTTGCTGGCACCAATTAACTTCCATAATGATTCTTATAGAAGTCAATGGGTGCCAGCTATTAGCATTCTTCAAAGTATCTTCATTTGTGTTCAACCTAAGAAAGAAGCTCAAATAGGTTTTGAACATGCTCTCAAAAAATGTTGTTTGCTGTTTGTTTGTGATTTCAATTGAGCTGAAATAACACAATTCTTGAGTTGTTGTTGGGACAACTTAATTGTTTTATGTTCGATCCACTTAAAAATGTAAAAACAATTAGCTTAACTTAATTCCTTTACATTGTCCCAACATAAATTATTTGTTTAGAACTTTTGCTTTTGAGATTCTTTGCTTCTGCTGAAGACAAATAAAGATATTTTAAAGAATGCTTCTTTGCTGGCACCAATTGACCTCCATAATAATTCCTATGGAAGTCAATGAGTGCCAGCTATCAGCATTCCTCAAAATATCCTCATTTGTGTCCAACAAGCTCAAATAGGTTTGACCAATTGAAAGGTCAGCAAATGATCGCTAACACTTCAGTTTAATTAACAATTGGCATCATTTACAACTGGCTTTTACCTGCTTTTTATTAGGATATTAACTATTTTCAATCCCTAACCATACACAATACCCAAACAAACACTATAAATTAGCAGCTAATTATTAGTTTATTGAGCTAAAAGTCTTAGTTGATGGTTTGTTAATAGCGTGGATTGTACATTTAATTAAAGTGTGATCATTTATGTGTGAACTGTCTCTTTAAGAGAGCGATGAGCACATAGCAATAGCGCTTTAACAACAATACAGTGGTTTTCGCATGACTCAGTAATAAAAACAAACGCATTAATATCGTGTAACAGCCCACCTTTATGAGAACAGCCGGGTTTCACAGCTGCGATTCTTATTAAATCTGCGCCTTTCCTGCCAAACACCTTCTTGTTTGGTAATTGCAGCCTTTTTTTTTAGATTTAAAGTCATTTTGTGCAGGTCGCTCAGGAGAAAGTGTGCTCCGTTTAGCAGAAATCTGATGAGTAATACTGTATATGTCGGATCTGGCCTATTTTCTTAGCAAATATAACTGCTGTGTCTCCGACACTTTCTCCTCTCCTTCGAGTTATTATTGTGAATGCATTTTTAGCTTACATGCGCTGCTGGATGACTTTGCGAAGGTTCAGTTTCTGTGCGGCCTCAAGCAGAAGTTTGGAAAGCATTTCGGGTTTGGTGTGGAAAGCAGAAGAGTTTCCTCGTAGTTTCTGTGAAAACTGAGCAGAAGGGAAATTTAGAGTCGAGATGTGCAGATGATTTCTGCATTCAGACAGGAAGAGAGAGACGGAGAGCACTACTTTCTGACTGAAAAAATGATTTTTGCACAAAAAACAGGCTATAATACGCTAAAAAAAAGAGTTAATTAGAGTAAATTATTCTTAAATGTTTAATTTGACCCAAAGATGGGTTTGTCTACATAAAAAACAACAGTTGTTCTTTCATTTCACGCCAAAATCAAGAGTTAAATATTACTGTTTGTTTCAGAACGTTCAGAAAACATTTAAGTAACATTTGCAGAATGATACAAATGAATACAGCAAAACTCCTGGGTTGTTTCAACCCAATGTTGGGTCAAATATGAAACAAATGTTGGGATAAGCAAAATGTAATTTTAAGTTAATGTAAAATATTATCCCAGTGGATGGGTTTGTCCACATTTGACCCCAAGGTTGGGCTAAAAAAACCCAGCATTTTTACAGTGGACACTCTAAGTACTGTGGTTGTATGAAGAGCGCAGTATAAATAAAATGCATTATTATTATAATTATTATTATTAATATTATTATAAAGGAATGCTGGGTTGTTTGTAACCCAATGTTGAGTCAAATGTTGACCATTGAGTCAAAAAAGTGTCATTTAAATTGAAAAAAAAAAGATAAATACCCAGTTTGTATTTTTTTTTTATCATATTCAACCCAACATTGGATTAAATGAACACATCATTTTATTTATACTGTGCTCACACCCAAAGTGCTGAGAGCATGCACTGTAAAAATGCTGGGTTGTTTTAACACAATGTTGGGTCAAATAGGAAAAAATCCAAATGTTGGGATAAACAAAATGTAATTTAAACATAAAATGTTAACCCAATGGATGGGTTTGTCCAAATAGGACCCAATATTGAGTTACAAACAACCCAGCATCTTTACAGTGCACGCTCTTAGCGCTTTGGGTGTAAGAAAGTTTGCTCGAGTATCAGGACAAACACAACATTGGGTTATTTGTTTATATATATATATATATATATATTTAAATGACACTTTTTAACTCAATGATTGGGTTTGTCCCTATTTGACCCAACATTGGGTTAAAAACAACCCAGCATTCTTTTATAATAATATTTTAATAACGATGCATTTTATTTATATTGCACTTTTCTAACACTGTAAAAATGCTGGGTTGTTTGTAACCCAAAGTTGGGTCAAATATGGAAAATATTAAATATTCAAATTTTTAAAATGTAATAAAAAAATAACCCAATGTTGTATTTTTCCTTATAGTCAACCCAACTTTGGGTTAAAAACAACTCAGGTTTTTGTTATTATTAATAATAACCATTCTAAAAAATAATTAAAAATAATTTTCTTACACTCAAAGCTCTAAGAGTGTGCACTGTATAAATGCTGGGTTGTTTTAACACAATTTTGGGTCAAATATAAAAAATTTGGATAAACAAGGTGTAATTTATATTTAATAACAAATAACCCAACGGTGTGTTTGTCCTTATATTCAACCCAATTTTTGGTTAAAACAACACAGCTTTTATTATTATCATTATTATTATTATTATTATTATTATTATTATTATTATTATTATTATTATTATTATTATTATTATTAACAATAATAATAACAATAATAATAACAATAATAATAATAATAATAATAATAATAATAAAATAATAATAATAATAATATAACAACAACAACAATAATATTAATAATAATAATAATATTAATAATAATAATACACATTTAGATGAGAACATTAGAAGAACATGCTTTAAACGTTTTGTCTTGTTTCGTTTCCACAGGACTGCTGTGTTGCGTCTGCTCTGGAGTGTTTCAGGTCTAAAGTGCTGCACCTGTCAGTTTCTGATGAAAAACTAAAGAAGTCACAGAGAAGTGTCCACCACGAGCTGCGCAAATCATTCATCGTGAGTGTGTGTTTATTACATGAAGAAGCAGTGCATGTACACACCTCAGACATGAGAAATGCTCATTAATGCTCTTTATTGTCACAGGTGGACAGTGTGTCCTGCACACCACAAGAGACACAGGTGAGCACGAACGAAAGCTGGAGATCTTTCATCGAACTAATGCTTCATACTTAAACATCATCGCACGCATTTCTGACTTCTGACATGCTTCTTGTTTCAGAAAGCTCAGTGCAAATCATGTGAAGCGTACACAATGGTCAACAGCCGAACGTTTGTGGACAACTTCAAAACTCTTCTGCAAAAGGTTAGTTTAGCATTTCTTTAATAAATGCGCTCTAAAAATGCTGGGTTGTTTCTCAGAAATGGACAAATGCAATGTTTAGTTAATATTTTTAATTCAACTTTAAACCAATGGAGGGGTTTGTCTGTATTTGGCAACACTTTAGCTTGAGTAACACTTCAACACCATTTACAACACTGTAAACATATACATAATTAAAGCCATAGCAACTTATTTTTATGTTGCTTTAACTTAATTTTGAAAGTTTATTCTGTTTAAACATACTTTTTTTTTGAGTTAAACAAACTTTAACTTGATGTTTTAAGCAAAGTTGATTTTGTAAAGTTAAATGGGTTCAACTTAAAAATGTAAGTGAGCAACAGTGTACCGGCTTATTACCTGCCTATTATTAAGATATGAACTGCTTATTAGCCTAAATCTACCCAATTCCCAGAGATGGGTTGCGGCTGGAATGGCATCCGCTGCGTAAAAACTTGCTGGATAAGTTGGCGGTTCATTCCGCTGTGGCGACCCCGGATTAATAAAGGGACTAAGCCGACAAGAAATTGAATGAATGAATGAAAATCTACCCAATAACTTTATTAATAATTAATAAGCAGCTAATTAGTAGTTTATTGAGCTAAACGTCTTTGTTGATGCGTGAATTGTACATTAAAATAAAGTTTGAGCCTATATTTGACCCAAGTCGGGGTTACAGCAACCCAACATTGTTAAGAGTGTTTTCTAATATTACTTAGAAGGGAAAAAACTACATATAAAACTTAAAATACATGGTAAATTCAATCAATTCTAGAATAGTTTTCTTAATCCTTCATTCATTTGGATTAGTCTCTTTATTCATCAGGGGTCGCCACAGTGGAATGAACCGCCGTTTTTTTAATCCATGCAATAAATTATAGTTTTTCCTCATCATTTTGGTGTGAAATGTAAAATATATGGTTAAAATGGTGTTTTTTTTTTACCAATTACTTGGTCTGTCTAATATAGACCGATCTAACATTGGGTTGACTTCAATTTCACTTTGTAACCAAACAGTTAGTTTGTCAGTATTTGACCCAACGTCAGGTTACCACAACACAGTAAACATGTGTCGATTTTTAATAACAACTATTGCTTAATTTGTAAATTGCGAGGTCCCGCAACAGATTGGGTTAGGATGTACAGGTGTCGTGAAGGGGGTAAGGAGGATCTGTGGCGGTGTGTTGATTGGCGGAGGGATGTCGTGGACGAAAGCGAAGAGGGTTGGGGAGTCGCGGAAGAAAGTGAAAGTGATCAGGGGGAGGAGGGCGGTTAAATGTGTAAAATGAGGTGACGGATCCGGCATGTTCCGGCACATTATATCATGATAATGATCATGTATATTATTGTTATTAACAGTGTTGGGGAAAGTTACTTCAGAAAGTAATGCATTAGTTGGCGCCAGTGGTGTAGTGGTTAGTGTGTCAACACATGCACTACGGTGCTCACGGTGACCTGAGTTCGATAACCCGCCTCGCAGTCCTACGCAGATCCTTCCCCTCTCTCTGCTCCCCATGCTTTCCAGTCAATAATCTCTACTGTCCTGTACATTAAAGGGGAAAACCCTGAAAAATATATATTATTTAAAAAAAAGAAAGTAATGCATTACAATATTGGGTTGCTCCCTAAAGAAGTAACTAGTTGCATTACTTAGTTACTATTTATATTCAGCAATGCGTTACGCTACTTTTGGGTTACTTTTATTACCTGCCTGAGGCTTGATCTCTTAAAAAACACACACACATGTAAAAGATATATTTTAGGATAATGTTATCGGAGAACTTCCTCACCCCAGAGCGATACATGTCGTATATTGAGATTACTAAAAGTTTAAAGCGATGTGTTTGCTGCTTTTGTACTATTAGTTTTAAGTCAGGGATGTTCAAACTCGGCAGAGTTTAGCTCCAACTTTCCTCAACACATCTGCCTGGAAGTTTCTAGTATACCTAGTAGGAGCTTGATTAGCTGGTTCAGGTGTGTTTGTTTAGGTTTGTAGCTAAACTCTCCAGGACACCGGCCCTCCAGGACCAAGTTTGGACACCCCCGTTTAAAGTAAAATCTCTGTCCAGTGAGACTATAATCCCCTTCGCCTTTTATTTTATGCGTTCAAAATAATGAAAACATTCCGTCATTGACTGCGTGATTCATTGTGACTTCACTGAAAAAAGTGTTGCATGAAGAACTGTTGCAAACTATTAATTTGTGTTAAATTTAAACAAACAAATGAAATTGAATAATGTTCAACTTAATTTGTTTGTTTAAATTCAACACAATTAAATTGTTTACAACCACTTAATGTAAAAAAATTGAGTTAATCCAAGGAATCATCTTTGAATAATTTTTTCAGTGTACATTCATTTTAATACAGCAATTCGTTTCTTGAAAAGCTAATCAATTAAACTAAGAAGTAACTCACGTTAAAAGTAACTAAAACATTATTAATTATTTTTTTAAAGTGATGCGTTACTTTTCTCGTTAACTCGCTAATATTACATTAATATTACTTGAGTAACTCCTGTTACTTGTAATGCGTTACCCCCAACACTGTTTATCAATATTGTTAACTATAGCAAATATACTACATTGGTAACAGTGACAACTACGAAAGCATTTATTAACCTGAGCTGATGTAAATATCAAAGTTAATGCGCAATAACTCATTAAAATAAATAAGTTGTAACAGTTTTAGTAAATGAATCTAAAAAGTAATACGTTTATGTTGTGTTTTTAACGAATATTAACATTGTAACTGTGATAAATGGTGCTATTTCTCACTTTTGCATCAACTAAAGTATAGTAACTTAGTGGTTAGCACTGTCACCTCACAGCAAGAAGGTCACTGGTTCGAGTCCTGGCTGGGTCAGTGGGCATTTCTGGACAATTTAGTTGATCAGTTCCCCTATAGCGCATGTGTTTGGACTGTGGGGGAAACTGGAGCACCCGGAAGAAACCCGCACCAACATGGGGAGAACATGCAAACTCCACACAGAAATGCCAACTGAACCAACCAGGACTCGAACCTGCAACTTTTGTGCTGTGAAGCCACAGTGCTAACCACTGAGCCACCGTGCCGCCCTTTCAATCCACTTAAATTTGTTAAAGTTAACTTAATCGATTTGTGTTTGGACAACATGATGCAATTGTTTGTAATCCAGCATGTCCTACGGTAAATGTTGGGTCAAATATGAGTTAAAAACTGTCATTAACATTAAGTAAATAAATTAACCAAATGGTAGCTCACGAAACCTAGCATTCTTCACAGAGTTCCTGTTGTTTTCTTTGTCTATTTTAGGGATAAGTGGTTCAATCCTATCTCAACATCGTGATAATACCATAATAGCTTCGTTATCATTAACATTTGAAACCATCACATGCTACAACCCAGCACGAATTATGACAAAAACATTTTATATAATGATTTAAATACCTCAATCTTAATCATCATTAATCACAACATTAAATTTAGATCCCATCAAGCTCTACAACCCAGTGTATATTTGTTAAATTCACCGTAATGATTAATTACCAACCGGTACTTTTCTCCATCTGTTGATTGCAATGCTAAATCAAGCACTAAATATCTTTAATTAACAATCTATTGTTTTCCCTCTCTCCAGATCTATGCCCGTCAAGCGTAGAGACCTGAAGAGTCTGTGAAGGACAGTATGACACTACCCACCGCTCCTGCTATTCTATTTATTGACTATTTATTGACAGTTTTGCTGTTTATTTAACTTTGGATGTGTAAAATGAGTGTTCACGATGACACTGGAGTGTGTTTGTGAGAAACTGGGCTGCTAAGCTTCTTTCCGTGGTCTGTTTTGCTGGTTTTTGCCGCCACCGTGTGGTGAAATCTCATCACTGCAAAGCCTAACCATAATAATAATGCAAGGGAATTTTGAGTAGATATCTCCCTTTATCAAGTATGCAAGAGTTATATTCTTCGCCACTCATTTCAGATGTGTCATAGCTGATATTTAAGATGTATCTTTACACGAAGCAGATACACAATGTTTTTTTTATCTCATAATGAGATGCATGTATATTTATTTTTATATTAAAATATTTGTATGTTTACATCATGGCTGTTTGTTTTTATTCATTCTCTGCATGCTTAGTGATTGATTTGACAATAGGAACATGAAGTGTGGGGTTTATTCTCGGATTTTAAAGGTAAATGTAGTGGGCAGTGGTACAAAAATGACTGTGATTGAGTAGTTTTTCTCAGGAATTGTAATTTAGTAAGTAGTTGTATGTAAAAATGTGCTTTTGCTTTCCCTTGAGTACATTTTTAGTGCAGTATTGGTACTTTAACTCCACTGCCTTCCTTCAACCTGCAGTCACTACTGTATTTTTTCTTGTCTATGGGGATTAGACTAATCAGTCCTGTGATTCTTGTCCAATCAAATCACACATAGAAGGTAAGTCATCTACCTCAAGACATGAGCTCTTTATAATGGCAGCAAACTGTTTGGAAGCATTAAAAGTGTCCAAGAAGATGTCCAAAATCTGTACACGTATTCAGGGGCGGACTGGCCATCTGGAAATTCTGGCAAATGCCAGAAGGGCCGGACCATTTTTTAAATGTGGGCCGGAATGCAATTTTTTTATTAAATTTTTTTTTTATGCATTGTTTTTACATGCAGGCAGCTTTAATCTCTTGCAAGATGTAAACATGATGATGATGATGATGATGATAGTAATAATAATGATAAATGTTAAGCATTGGCCCAATCGGCAATGGTCGGCTTGTTTCGAGATAGGCCGACCCAATCAGAGGTTACACGGACGCAATTAAAATCTGGCAAGAATGTCATACAAACAGTAAGTGCAACACAAGCTAATTGTCAGAAATGGGCCGTAAAAAAGGAAAGGTGGGGCCAAAAAAATCTGAGAAAGCAAAAAAAATAAATAAAAAAATCAGATACTGCCAAATGCATAAAATTAACTAAAATGGTCTCGAAAGGGGGCAACGCGGTAGCACTGTCGCCTCACAGCAAGAGGGTCGATGGTTCAAGCCTCGGCTGGGTAAGTTGGTGTTTCTGTGTGGAGTTTGCATGTTCGCGTGGGTTTCCTCCCGGTTTCCCTCACAAGTCCAAACACGTACTATACGTGAATTGGGTAGACCTAATTGTCAGTAGTGCATGTGTGTGAATGTGTGTGTATAGGTGTTTCCCAGAGATGGGTTGCAGCTTAGAGGGCATCCACTGCATAAAACATATGCTGGATAAGTTGGCGGTTCATTTTACTGTGGAATAAAATGACTGTATGTATAAATTTGTTATAATTGGGCTGTTTTTGTTCCAGACATATACATTAAATGTTTAAATATTGAAATATATTACAGATTAAATATTATATATTACATTAAATATTAAAATATATTACAGACGGTACTGCTTATTTTATTTTACCATCTGCACACCAATATAAGTAGTGAATGTGCGTGTCAGTGGATAGGGCTGTGTCAGTGTGGTAATGTGGGCTGGTGTGGCTCCAGTGCCAGGGCTGATTTTTAGTCCCAGTCCGCCCCTGCACGCATTGACCCAGTGAGAATCTAGGGGAACCTTTGTCTCGGGAGCCACATGTGGCTCTTTGACCAAAAATATAAGGCTCTTCAGCTGTCTCTCTTTAATAATATTTCAAAATAAAAAAATATATATAACTGTTACTAGAAATCTGTTTCCTATTGAAAGTAGTGACGAGTTGTTTATGAACGATTCGTTCCTTTTGAACGAATCTTCAAAATGACTCGGGAACTACGAGTCCTCTCAGGGAGTGATTCGTTCATCCACGCGTGCGCACATTTGTGCAGGTATCGTTAATTTTAAGTCTTCATCACATTGGCAGAATCATATGCATTAAGAACCGGAAAAAGAATTGATCCGTTCATCTCTCGAGTCCTCTATCGGGTCTGAGTCACTCGTTCCTCACGGGCCAATCATACACGTTTAGAGCCGGAAAAAGAATTGAACTGTTAATCTCTGGAGTCCTCGGGTTTGAGTCATTCTCTCACCCCTGCTGAAAAATCCAGCTTAAACCAGCCTAGGCTGGTTGGCTGGTTTTAGCTGGTCGACCAGGCTGGTTCAAGAGGGGTTTTGGCCATTTCCAGGCTGGTTTCCAGCTATTTCCAGCCTGGTCTTAGCTGGTTAGGCTGCAAAATGACCAGCCAAATCCAGCTAAAACCAGCCTGGTTTAAGCTGGATACAGCTGGTTTTGGCTGGACTCCCAGCTTGGCTAGGCTGGTCAATCTGGTTTTAGCTGGTCATCTCCCAGCCTGACCAGCTAAGACCAGGCTGGAAATGGCTGGAAACCAGCCTGGAAGTGGCCAAAACCCCTCTTGAACCAGCCTGGTCGACCAGCTAAAACCAGCCAACCAGCCTAGGTTGGTTTAGGCTGGATTTTTCAGCAGGGACGTGATGAACGAACGATCATGGCTCCTATCAGCTTAGACTGTGCATTGATTAAGATTATATGTGACTGTCACTGTTACATGAACGAATCACTGACATTTGAAGACATGAAGAGGTGAGCTGAGCAAAGAGACAACAACACCTTCATAGACAAAAGAGCAGGACAACATTGAATGATTATTTTCTCCTCCTTATAGTATTGTATTTATGACTTATTTGTCGTGTGATCAACCTTTTGGGCTAGTTGTAGATGTGTTTGGAAGCAATTCTAAACATTTTAATAATATTTTGGCAAATTGAACCAAATGAACGAAACGACTCGAAAAAAGATTCGTTCATCTTGATGAACAAGACTCAAAGATCTGAGTCAGTAAAATGATCCGAACTTCCCATCACTAATTAAAAGTGCAATTACAATTCCCTTTTATATTGTCTGTCCTACAGCAAAATTAATAAGAACTCGCAACAACAATAAAGGACAAGTTATATTTCTTACATTTCTAAGGTTGCTAAACACGTAAATCCTAACATTTATGAGTGGCGAAGGCAAAAAGAAAAAAAAATCTGCAAACTGTTCTTTCTTTATACATTGTGATGCGTCAAATGTGCTTATTTTTGAGTTGTGCATGGATATATATATATATATATATATATATATATATATATATATATATATATATAAAAATATATAAATAAAGGTTTTGTTATATACACAGACCCCATATGGATCTTTAAAAATGCATTTGCTAACAAAAATCTGAACTGGCTCTTTGCTGAAAAAAGGTTTCTGACTCCTGGTTTAGATGTACTTAAAAACTTGTACTTGGAAACACCCATTCACACCAATTCCCTTATAGGGCATGCGTTTGGACTGTGGGGGAAACCCACGCCAACACGGGGAGAACATGCAAACTCCACACAGAACTGCCAACTGGCCCAGCTGGCACTCAAACCAGCAACATTCTTGCTGTGAGGACAAACTGTTTACCACTAAGCCACAGTTTGCAAAGTTAACCTATTAGTTTTTACAAATATAAGTGGATTGAACACAAAACAGTTACACTGTCCAAGACTGTCCAAGGCGTTGTTTCAGCTTCTAAATAAGTAGTTCACTTTAAGTGTGAGTAAATGAGGAGCACTTTCATGGAAACTAAGACGCTGTTCTGAATGTCATGTGATGCCATGCTGCCATCCGGCGGTCAGACTCAGTATTGTCATCTCCGCCGCCTCTATTTTTTCTCAATAGCTTTGGCTCATTTCTTAGTTTTCCTCAGTGGCTTTGGTGCTTTTCTCAGATCAGAATTGAAATAAGCAAAACAGTAAGTGCATTTCTTAAAACAGCACCAACAAATAGCAAAACACCATACAGAAATGCACCAAAGTGTCTGAGAAAAACTGTAAATGAGTTTCTTTTTTAAATCAAAACAATAAATGTAAGAGTTCTGAGATCAGTTCTGAATTTACGGTGATGTTTTTCTGCCATCTTGTGGTCAGAGCCAGTATTGTCATATTTACCGACTCCGTTTTTAACAGTTTCGGCTCATTTCTCAACTCATTTTGTTTAATCAAAACATCAACTTTTAGATTTCGGACTAAATAATGTCGTATTTATTTAAACAAACTTCTTGAGTTTTTGGCAAACGTGTGCAAAGGTTTAAGCACCTGCACAATCACCGAAAACATAAGCAGTAATGTGTGGATCAACTCTGATTTGCTAAACAATAGTGTACAATTCATTCATTCATTTTTTTTTTTTTGGCTTAAAGTCCCTTTATTAATCTGGGCTCACCACAGAGGAATGAACCGCCAACATATCCAGCACGTTTCACACAGCGGATGACCTTCCAGCTGCAACCCATAACTGGGAAACACCCATACACGCTCAATCACACACATACACTACAGCCAATTTAGCTTACCCAGTTCACCTACAAGAACAATTGTGGGTAGCACAATCGCCTCACAGCAACAAGGTCGCTGGTTCGAGCCTCGTCTGGGTCAGTTGGCATTTCCGTGTGGAGTTTGCATGTTCTCCTCGTGCTGGCATGGGTTTCTTCTGGGTGCTCCGGTTTCCACCATCTGGCAACCAGAGTGCTGAAATATGATTGGCTAAACTGGCATTGGGCGGGTTAAAGAGACCAAAACAAAGACAGCGGCTCCGGCAGGTAACCCACATGTTCAAAGCAGAATATCTGACTTCAGCATTCTGAGCATGTTTCTGAATATCTGCACACATTTGATGCTGTTTTTATGATTTAGAAGAGTCAAACATGAGTTTCATTTTCGGTGAACTCTAACCTACATACCTCTTTACTTTAATTACAGCCAATAGCGATGAATGGCCTTTTCTGAGCTAACGAAATAAATTAATAAAACGTGTACCAAACCAAAGCAAGACAAGCCACAGTAATGTCAAAAAATGATCATCAAGAAGTTCCTAAGAGTTTTGAACATTAAATAATCTGTTAAATATACCGGGAAATGTCCGTGGATCAATAAAGCAGTCTGTGATATTTTATTTGAAGTGAAAAGTGAAGTGAACGTGTGTGTATCGACAGCCAAGTATAATATTTACCTATACATGTGTTTGTCT